TGGAATGGAAATGATCTTTCACACAATGCAGTCATAGCACTATTATTCCACTTCAACTACCATCCCATGGTCATCTGGGATTTGTAGTTGGGGGGGCATTTAGAATTCTCAGCCAGAGGGTTCCAATGCCTTACCAAATTACAGTACAAATCCCAGGATTCCCCAGGATGGAATCATAGTAGTTAAAGTGGAACAATAGTGCTATAATTGTGTCGTGTGAATATGCACCAGGTCTCCACCAATGGCACAGACATCCAAAGTGGACTGCAGTGGCTTCTATGATTCCTGGGGTTTCTTCCAAGGCTGTAAAATGAGGAAGATTGTAGAGCAGAATATCAACACTCAAAGCTGGAATGAATTTAAGGGTTTCGGCCAACAGATCTCAGGTAAGGCGGAAGACACAATCATCCATTCTGGGTGAGAGAAGTCATCCTCTCCCATTATCCTTTTATGCCACCTGCCAAACACCTGATGAAGCCTCATCTCTTATCATACATTGATTCATCTCCTACAATTCCAGTAGCTTCAGATTTTTGTTGAGATTTTTGTCTAATAGGGGCCAATGATCCAATCAGTCACAGATTTATTAGACGCCTTTGGGATGAGCCCATCTTCTAATTACAAGCAAGGAAATACAAGAGACAGTCAAACCCTGAACGCATAGGGACGTGGCCTTGTTGTCGGCAATTCGTGATCCCCTTGAATTAATTCGCTTCCTGGAATATATTTCCAAGCTTTAAGTGGGAGAAACAAACATACATCCTGTGGGTTGCCTCCTCCAAGGCTGGCACCACACCTGGCATTTTTGGACAGCTGCCAGGGCCCTGCCACCCTAGCAGAGAATACCACAGATGCCCGCCCTTGCCTGCCTTTATGTATGGTATTTTTCCACTCTGGCTTTGCATTTCAAGTAGGAGCAAGTGGCTGGGTCTAGCTCTCGTTTTAATTTTCAGACTATCCCTGCTGTGGTTAATCTGAGGATAAGTTTAAATTGTGAACAAAATCAGCTATCTGGTGCTTCTAGAAAGGTGGCCCCTTATATGTTGTCAAAAAGATAGTACAGTGAGACCTTGGTATCTGCTGAAGTTTGGTTCCAGGACCCCCAGGGATATCAAAATCCATGGGTGCTCAAGTCTTATTAAATACAATGGCATAGCAAAATAGTGCCACTTAGGAGTTTATCACATTTTAAAAAACGTGACTTATCCCTGACAGGACACAGCTGCATTTCGGATTATTACCTGATTTTATTGCATGAAAATTGCTGCCAAGCAACTGAAACTCGCATGTAACCCAGGTCCCAGCCACCCTCAGCCAGCCACTTTTAAAAAAATGGGAGCTTCCTGTCCAGTGGCATCAGCAGCGATATTCGTGCAATAAAATCAGGTAATAATCAGAAATGCGGCTGTATCCCATCAGGGATAAGTCAAATTT